CCCCCGCTCGGCGCTGCCGCTCCCCGCCGCGGCCCAGGTTAAATATCGCCGGGGCCGGCGGGCGGGAGGAGCCCGGCGGGACGGGAGGAGCCGCGGGCGGGAGCAGCCCCGCACCGCCCTCGGCTCCGCACCGGCCCCGAACCTCCCGGCACCGCAGCGGTCCCGCAGCACCCAGAGCCCGCAGCGCCCCCGGCCCCGCACCTTCCCCGGGCCCTCCCCAGCTCCGCAGCCCCCAGCCCCGCGCCGCGCCCGGTTCCGCACCTTCCCTGGCACCGCCCCAGCCCCGCAGCACCCCAGGGCCGAGCCCGCCGGCCCCGAACCTCGCCCCGGTACCGCACGGACCCACCCGGTCCCCTCGGCCCCGCTGCCCCCGGGACCGTCCCGGCGCAGGGAAGGGGGAGCGGCCCTGGGCTGGGGGACCCGCCCGGGGGGCAGCGGGCTGGGCTGGGGCTCTTGGGGGGCTGGGCACCCCCGCAGCCCGGCGACGGGGCCGGGGCCGTGCTGCCCGTGCCACGTCGCGCCGGGCCGTGCCTAGCCCGGCCGTGCCCTCCCGCCTGGCACCGCGGGGCAGCGGCGACCCCCGGGCGCCCCGACACCCTGGCGGGCACCCTGGGGGCACAGAGCCCACCCAGAGCAGCCCAGTGCCCCAGTACGGACAGCCCCACCTGCCCCCCGGCCCCCTCGGGGGGCAGCACCGCCCCCCCGGCTTCTGCCGGGGCTGGTTCCATGTTTTCAGGCATCACATGGGGCCTTGTAAAACAATTCAGGAATGTAAATCCGCAGGGATCAGACGGGTCCCGCTCCTGCCGGGCAGCAGCTCCCCCAAACTGGGCTGGTGGGGTTCCCGGGGGGGCTCCTGGGGGGCCGCTCCTGAGCTGGCAGGGGAGGGGTCCCCACAGCTTCCCTCCAGGGACCCCCGGCCGGGACCCCCACCCCTGCTCGGGCCGGCGCTCCCGGTGGGGTTGGGGGAGGACCCCCAGCACCGGCCCGGACCCCAGGGTTGGGGGCACCGTCTCCCCCCGGCGCGGCTTCCCCAGGCCGAGGGGCCGGGGGCCTCCGCGTGCCCGGAATCGCTGGGATTCTTCCGCATGACCGGGACACAAAGGCTCCACACACCCGGCCCCGTGCGGGGGGATTCGGGCCAGCACCTGATCCCGGCGGGGGCACCGGGCGGGACACGGCGCTGAGCGGGCGGGGGGCGCGGCCGGGCCCCGCTCCGCGACCCCCGGTCCCGCCCGGCTCCCGGGCAATTCCCGCCGCGTTCAGGGCTCTGCCGCTGGGGTTGGCCCAGTGAGAGAGAAACCAGGCTCGACAAGGCCGGGAGCCGCGGGTGGGGGTACGCGGGACACCCCGAGCCCCCCGACCCCCGCCCTGAGCCCGCCGCCGCCACCGCGTGTGGCTGTGCCCGAGGGGTGTCACCCCGTGGGGCACGGATCTCGGAGGTGACATCTGTCACCCAGCAGGGCACAGCGCCAGCACCCCCACAGCGACCCCAGGACCGGGCTGGGCTCCCCTCCCGGGCCGTGCGCGGGTCCCCGTGTGGGGCAGGGCCAGCCGCTGTCACCCCCAGGGACGACACCGTGTCACCAGGATCGGTGTCACCGGATCGGGCTGGGCACGGGGAGGGGGCTCGGGGGACACGGCAGGGGCGCAGCTGAGCCCCGACCCCGCAGCAGGGGCACAGCGTTTCCCTGCCCTTCTCCTCCTCCGGGATCACCATCCCTGGAGCTCTGGCTCATCCCCCGGCCCTGCTGGGTCCGGCTGTCGCCTCAGGGCCACCCCGGCACGGGTGACCCCGGGAGCTGCTGCCCCCCGGCCGTGCCACAGCCGGAGCTGCCGCCCCCGGGTCACCTCATCTGTCCCCGGGGCCCGGCAGCGCTTTCCCTCTCCCTCTCTGCTGGCTCCCGGCCCTGGGAACCCAGGAGAAGTTTTAATTAGCTTAATTGCCTGCTGGCTGAGGCCCCGGGGCAGGGCGGGGGCAGCGAGCAGCACCGGCAGCCCCGCTCCGGTCACCGGCTCCCCAAAAAGCGCCTCTGGCTGCTGGGACCCCCGGGACAGCAGCACGCGGGTCCCGGCAGGGGCGGGGGCACAGCCGGGACCCCCAAACCGAGGGGCCGCTACCCCATCCCTGAGCCCACCGGGACCCTCTGGCCGCCAGCCCGGCACCCCCGAGCTGCCGTGTCCCGCGGGGCAGCGGTGACAGCGACACTCGGGACATCGGGCTCCGTGTCCGGGCCGCGGGAACGGCCGGGAACCGCCGGGACAGGGAAAGAACCGCGTCCTTCAGCAGACACGACAGTGTCACCAGGGTCCCCAGTGTCCCCAGGGCTCCCAGTGTTCCCAGAGTCCCCAGCATCTTCGGGAACGTCAGCAATCCCCGGTGTCCCCAGGGTCCCCGGTGTCCCCAGGGTCCTCAGTGTCCCCAGGGTCCCCGGTGTCCCCAGGGTCCCCAGTGTCCCCAGTAGCAGCTCTTGCCCGAGAGGATCCCGGGCACACGGGACTACCGGGCTCTGCACGTGCCTTGTGTCCCCGTGCCCCGTTCCTGTCCCCTGCCCCGTGTCCTGAGCCCTGCGGGGCTCCCGGTGCCCGCTGCTGCCCCTGCGGGTCCCGCACAGCCCCTGCTGCGTGTCACCCTGCTGCCTGTCACCCTGCTGCCTGTCACCTGCTGCCACCACGACCCGCGGCACCGGCAGCCGGTCCCTGTAGTGCCACCCCCGCTGTGCCAGTGCCACCTCTGAGGTGACGGTGCCACCCCTGCAGTGCCAGTGCCACCTCTGAGATGACGGTGCCACCTCTGAGGTGACAGTGTCACCCCTGCAGTGCCAGTGCCACCTCTGAGGTGACAGTGTCAGCCCTGCAGTGCCAGTGCCACCTCTGAGGTGACAGTGTCAGCCCTGCAGTGCCAGTGCCACCTCTGAGGTGACAGTGTCAGCCCTGCAGTGCCAGTGCCACCTCTGAGGTGACAGTGTCAGCCCTGCAGTGCCAGTGCCACCTCTGAGGTGACAGTGCCACCTCTGAGGTGACAGTGCCACCTCTGAGGTGACAGTGCCACCTCTGAGGTGACAGTGCCACCTCTGAGGTGACAGTGTCAGCCCTGCAGTGCCAGTGCCACCTCTGAGGTGACAGTGCCATCCCTGCGGTGCCAGTGCCACCTCTGAGGTGACAGTATCAGCCCTGCAGTGCCAGTGCCACCTCTGAGGTGACAGTGCCACCCCCGCAGTGCCAGTGCCACCTCTGAGGTGACGGTGCCACCCCTGAGGTGCCAGTGCCACCCCCGCGGTGTCCCCGTGCCCGTCCCAGCCTGGCACAGGCCAGGTCACCCCGCGCAGCCCCGGGCGCTGCCAGGTGGATCTGCCCGGTTCTCCTGTCCCAGCCTCCGGCCCCGCTCCGGTCCCCGCTGTCACCTGCGCCGGGTGCCCGTCCCTTGGGCTGTCCCCGGGCTGTCACCCTGCTGCTGGCCCGTGTCACTGTCCCACGGGGTCACAGACCCGCTGCGCCCCCCGGCCGGGGCGCGGGTCGGGGGGACCCCGCTGGGGGAGTGGGGGGCTGCACCTCCCGGGATCCCCCCGCCGGGAGGGGTGGGCATGGCCGGGCTGTCCCTGCCCGGGGACACCGAGGGTGACCCCAGGGAGGCTGCGGGGCTCTGCCCGGACCCCCGGCGCCCCCCGGGCCCGAGGCCGGGCGGTGCGGCCGCCCCCCCACCCCGCACGCAGCCCACGTCCCGCTCCCGCGTGGGAACGGGAACGGGAACGGGAACGGGGAGATCCCAGGGGCCACTCCCGGGGCTGCCCTGCCCGCGACCCCCGCCCCGGGACCGCCCCGGGACCGCCCCTGCCGGGGGCACCGGGGCGGGTCCTGCCTTGCCCCGCGCGTGTCCCGGGCCTGGCACGGGACGGAACGGGACTGGCACGGCGGCACCGCCGCCCTCGGGCAGGGTCCCGCTGTCCCCGGGGTGGCACGGAGCCCCGAGTGCCGGGGACAACACGGGATGGGGACCCCGCGCCTCAGGGTCCTGTCCCGGGGGTCGCGCCCCCCTGAGCGGGGACATGTCCGTGTGTGGGGTCACCCCTGCGGGGGTCCTTGCCAGGGGGCCTGTGTGGAACGGGGGTCGTGTCCAACCTGCGGGCACCTGGGGGCCGTGCACACCTGCGGGGGTCTGTGCTCACGGGGGCGTCCCCGCACCCCGGGATGTCCCCCGGGACACCCCAGGATGTCCCCGCACCCCCGGGATGTGCCCGCACACCCCGGGATGTCCTTCCGGGACACCCCAGGATGTCCCCGCACACCCCCGGGATGTCCCCGCACACCGGGATGTCCCCGCACACCGGGATGTGCCCGCACCCCCCAGGATGTCCCCGCACCCCCCGGGATGTCCCCACACCCCCCAATGTCCCCGCACACCGGGATGTCCCCGCACACCCCAGGATGTCCCCACACCCCCCGGGATGTCCCCGCACCCCCGGGATGTCCCCACACACCCCGGGGCTGTCCCCGCACCCCGGGATGTCCTCGGGCCGGGCCGGGCCGGGCGGTTCTCAGCCCCCGC